ACTGCTGGCTCTTTTGGTTGGGATAAGCGTGGTCTACCGCGTTGATGTTGGTGACATATTCATGAATCACCTTACTCAACCGGATCGCTCGGAGGCCTTCTGATTGCGTTGAACGCTTGGCAGGAAGTACAACATCCTCAAGGAGTCTTGACGAAGCGACATGGCTTTCCAAAGCTCGCATATAGGGTCTGACAGAAGCGACAGATCGCTCAAAAAGCTGCAGAAGCTCGGGAGCAGTCCGTTGTTGAGGTCGTGGAGAATGTGCGTGTTCCACTAGCACTCCTTTCAAGAACCTACCGCTGTTCATCAAACGAAGTTGGAACTCATGAGGATGGGCGTACTGGCGTAGCTTTGGGATAATACGCTCCCGCGACTTGCTATAATTACGCCAGACTTGCTTCAAGTAGCCACCAGTCGTCGCCAGGGAGGACTCGAAACTACCACTCAAGGACAGTAAGAGATTAGAATGTCTGTTGAAGGCGGACCTATCGGCACCATGGACATCGGATGTAAGCTTGGCGAGGCGGCGACCTAGCTTCTGGCGGAGTGAGAAGGCTGCATCAAGAGGTATCTTCTTCAACACATCTTCCAATAGCTGCGCATGCAGGAGACACATCATTGTCTTGTAGTGGAGTCTTCCGACCTCTGCACCCAAGTGGTGATACAAGTAACGCTGGACCGCTACTCGAAGGACCAGATAGAAAGCGGATCTCCTCCATGGTGTCCGAGCATTATCAAAGGTAACTGTATCGCGCACGCGCTTCCGTAGACGAGGAACCGCAACTGCAGCGCCATTGGCCTCCAGTATAGTCATCAATAAGCCAGATATGAGAGCGGGGTCACTCGTGTCTCGGATCTCCGGAATCGTGGCGGCTGCCTTCCAAGTGATAGCGGCAAACTTTGTGACCGACTCGCTGCTAGCTTGTTCGATGAAGGTGGCGAGAGCTTCCTGGAATGCTTCTTCGTTGATAGTCGACGCTGGGACGGATACCGCGCAGCCGGGGACTACAGGTAAGTTCAAGATCAGTAAATGCGCGACACCGATGTATGTCAGCTACTTACAGTCCCATTGTAGCGCGCCTTTGGCAGCAAGCACCTTGTCGGCTGTTGCAGATGTCTCGAATGCTTCGAAAATGATGTTGCGCTCGCCGGAGGTGTCGTAGGGATACACGAGCAAAGCGCAGTTCTGAGGTGCGATATGCAGAACAAGCATTTTCCCATGGCTGAAGTCGCGAAGCTCTTTCATCAGCGCCGCCTTGCCAATGGTTCCATCAATATTGAGTATTTGACATGCGAGCAATGTCTTCCGCAGTCCTTGGACGTGCGGAGCAACATCTGCAGCGACACTGGGGGTGAGCCTTGCAACGGCGTCAAGCATACGCTTCAAGAGAGCCTCCTCGACGCGATGCAAGTTGCCATCTTCGCGGCCAGGTACATTGCGGGGCAGCGCGATATGGTAGTACTGCTGCTCAAGAAATGGCAGCCGCGCGGCGGACGCCATGGCTGTTTCGAGTGCCTGCTGCAACGAGGCAGCGGGCGGGGGCAAGAACGAGTGAGGGAATTCGCAATACGACGGAAGTGGGGTATTGCGATGTTGTAAGAGTTGGCAGGTGGTGTTGTCGAAAACGCGACTGCTTGATGAGGGCGCGGTACCAGGGTTGACTTAGGCGCCAAGCATTGTTTTGTTAGGCGGCAGCAACGCGTAGACGCCCTCCCCAACGATGAGCGATGAACGATGAACATTGAGCCTTGCCAGAAGTCGTGGAACACCAAAGCGCAGTCTCGGGCCAATCTCCTTGCCACCGGTGAACGAGTCTGCATGAGGAGACATGCCGGCTAGCGAATGGGTGACTGAGGCACTGTACGGCGCTACGAGAAACCCTCAGCCTCGCCAGTTCCGAAAGAAGAGGCCATGATGGACATGGCGATTGATTTCCAGGATTAATGATGCTGGGCGCTTCTTTCAGGTCGGTCTTGACGTCCGCAGTTGCTTCCTTCTGTCCACGCATCAAACAAGTGGAGGATGTATGGCAAAGGTGGGAAGTAACAGAGAAGAACGAAACTGTGTTGCTTCCGAAAAGCGATAACGCAAAAAGAGAAGGAATGAGTCCAGATTGGCTGAGAGGAACGCTGCTGAAATGACAAGGATGATGGAGACGTGGCCTGCATCAAATGGAAAGAACGACCTACGTGTGTTAGTGTAGCATCACTACTGCTCTTCGACCTTGGAAGCTGTCTGTCATCTTGAAGTGAAGGTAGGAGTTGTTTAGGTTGTTTTCAGACGTCCAGACGACAACAGAATTGTCGATAGAGCTCATCCAGACGTTCCGACGCGCGTGCTGGTAAAGCGCGTGTTGTGACGCGACAAAAGTAGATAGCGGCAGATTGGAGGCATGTTCTACTCCTGAGCGCATCAATGGTAATCGAGCGCAAGTCTGTGGGAGCTTCGTGATGATGCATGATGGAGTTGTGGACTCTATAGCTGAGAGAAGCCTGGTGGTGAGAGGTTTGACGACGCGTGAGGTACAATCGCATTTACCCGGCCCCTTGCCTAGCTCCACAGCTAGCAACATAGCGCCTTCCCCTCCCTTGTCTGCCTTTCGCGCATTTCCAGTGCATTTATCTCTCTTCTCCAATGACATCTTCTACATTTTCTGCGAACCCCCAATGAAGCCATCGAACGACAGCGGCTAGCTCCAGCCGATCTCGCTGCCTCATGGAGGGCAAACTTCATCCGTAAACGGCATATCGGCTGCAGCACCTGCCTGCCTCGGTTACTCTCTCCCCAGCTATCACCGCTATGCCTTGTGGGTTTATTCCCGCTAGATTAATCATCGCCACCATGAAGGCGGGAAAGTGCGAAAGGGCGCCCGCGACTAGCTCATCTCGAGCTCCAAGGCGCGACGTTGGAGGTTGTGGATGAGTCTCTTCACGCATCACCACTAGCTGGCTCGATGCGCCTTCGTTTCAATTATTCATACCCTGTTTTTATGCTGCTAGAATAAGCAGCGGGAGCTCGTTCGTCGGTACGCATTCGCTATTGGTCGAGTCTGGGATCTCATCGGCGCCGTCATCAGCACTATGTCGCACAGCAACCTTACCCAAGACGCGGCCGCGGGAACGATACTAGGAACCCACGCACAGAACACTCCGCCGTCACCCAAGTCATACACTTCAGACAAGTCCCGCGTAATCGAGGACGTCGAAATCGAAGAGGACCGCGCCTCCATATCCTCAGCGTCGACGCATTCCGATTCGATCAACTCGGCAGTAGATCAACGTCCGTCGATACATCATACATGGAGTAGGAATACAGGGCACTCCTGGCCTGGCGATAAGGAGGATGCGATTGCGACTGTCACAACGAACGCGACGCAAGACCCGCGCTTCGAAATTGACTTCGAGGATGGAGAAGACCCGGAAGACTGGTCCATGTTGAGGAAGGCTGTTGTCATCTTCTTCATGAGCTTTTCAACACTGGTCGTAGTTATGTACTCGACAAGTTATACAAGCGGCATACCGGGCATGATGGCAACATTTGGCATTCAGTCGAAGACGTTAGTGATCTTGGGGATAACAACCTACTTGTGCGGTCTGGCGATTGGATCACTGCTACTGGCACCGCTTAGTGAGATGTATGGCAGGAGACCCGTCTACCTTATCGCTGTCGCATCCTTCACCATCCTCGTCATACCATGCGCTCTATCGAACAACCTAGCTCAGATCCTCGTCATGCGCTTCTTCGGTGCCATCGCGGGCGCGGCTATGATTTCCAATGCTCCAGGCACCGTCTCCGACATATCCAAGGAAGACTATCGCGCATTGGCTTTTTCGATATGGTCTCTAGGGCCAATGAACGGGCCTGTCTTCGGCCCTCTCGTTGGTGGCTTTGTCTTCCAAGCCCTCGGCTGGCGCTGGACGAACTGGGTCGTCATGATCGGCTCTGGCGCATCCTGGTTCATGGTCTTTCTGATCCCAGAAACATACAAACCAGCGATTCTCCGCGCCAAGTCAGCCAAGAAGCGCAAAGAAACGTCCGACCCACGATACTACTCTCGCTACGATGAGAAGAAGGCTTTCTGGCCTCTACTACGGGAGAACCTCTACCGGCCGCTTAGTATGGCGGTCAACGAACCGATTTGCATCTTCTGGGACGTATACATAGCATTGGTCTACGGAGTTTTGTATCTGTGCTTCGTTTCGTACCCCATCGTTTTCGGTGAGCTGCGAGGTTGGTCGCCTGGACTTGTTGGACTGGGTTATATGGGTATTGGCATTGGCGGTGTCATCACGATAGCATCGGAACCGCTGCTTCGTCGCATGATCAACAGTCATAAGAAGGACCCAGAGACTGGTAAGCCATACCCAGAGGCTATGGTCAGTGTGGTTGTCATCGCCGCGGTATTGGTTCCCGTGGGCGAGATGATCTTTGCTTGGTGTGTATCCCTCCCCATCTAGATGTCGTCTGTACTAACATGATTACAGGACATGCACTCCCAACGTCCACTGGATTTTCCCCCTCATCGCCGGCATCCCCTTCGGCGCCGGAAACTGCGGCGTCTTCATCTACGCGTCAAACTACCTCGTTCACTCCTACGGCATCTACGCCGCGTCCGCTCTCGCTGGAAACGCCGTCCTACGATCCGCCATGGGTGGTGCTCTTCCCCTCGCAGGTCCAAAGATGTATCAAAGTCTTGGCCCACATTGGAGTGCTACAATGCTGTCGCTGATCGAGTTTGCGCTCATACCCATTCCGGTAGTCTTTTACCTCTATGGACATAAGATCCGGGAAAAGAGCGCCTTGATCAGGCAGATGAGGGAGGATAGGGAGAGAGTTGATGCGAAGAAGAGGAAAGCTGCTGAGAGGATGGAGAAGATGAGGGGTGGTGTGCTTGATGAGAAGAAGTTAGACGTTTGATAACCTGCATGTATGAGGATCATCGATACACCGAACTAGACTATTGTTCACCAAGATGCATTTGCACGGCTGGTATGATGCCCTATGCTTTCTGACCAACGCGTACAATGTCATGAGCATCAAAGCAATCCTCGTCTACTCCAACAACAATACTCCATGTCTCACTTCCATCCTGCTCTTCCCCCAGTATCACATATCCATCTTGCGAGTCATCACCCCAGTCACTGAGATCGCTATCCCAACCCCGGTCGTTCTCTTTCAGTCTCTCATCCTCCATCCTCTCTCGCTGCCTCTGCAAAACAATCTCATCCGCCTCTATCCTCCCCATCAACTCCCCGCTAGCCCACTCAACAAGACTACACCTCTGCACCTCCTCCGGCGCCGGAACCTCCCACTCCGTCCCCACCCCAAACTCCGCACAAGCACACTCCCGATCCAAAGTGCACCAACACGAACACGTACAAGTCCCCCCACCCACCTCCGAGCATTCATATCCGCAGCCAAGGAACCAACACCCAGACAAGTTCCTATGCCACTGCCAGGTATACTCGCCCCACCACCAGAAGCCTGGTATCACGGGTAGAGCGGGTTCGTTGCGGCTACGACAGCGTTGTTTGAGGATTTTTGGAGGTGTGAGAATGCAGGCTAGTGTGGCGTGGGCGCGAATCTCGGAGAGAGAGGTGGGTAGGGTTGTTTCGTGGGGGTTTGCGAAAGGCGCGGTGGGGATGGTGGCGCTGACGCGACCGGGTCGCCTGGTGTCGCGCATGGTGTGTGGGAGGATGACCAGCGGCGCTGGGCTCGTGGGTTTGCCGTATGCATGTATGCGGTGTTCCTTGACGTGCCGCATCTCTGCGATGCGACGCCGGGCCCAGGTGCCAAAATCCTCGCCTGTTGTAATGTCTCCGGTGGTTGTGCCTTCGAAGATATGGGCATTCTTGCCAAAGAGTTCGTAGGCTTCTATGTCGTCCATATGCTCCATGTCTACTTCATGTGCCCATCTGTCGTAACAATCGTCCTCCCATTCCTGAATGTCTGCCTGTTTGGACTCGTGCCGAAGCTGGTTTTCTCGTGCGAGGCGATATCGGTCGTTGCGACGACGCTTGTTACCGCTGTAGATGCGCTCAGGGTATCTCTTAGATCGCTGGCGTACGCGACGGGCCGAGCGAAGGTCTTTGAACGGGTGGTCTGAAGTCCGGCCAGCGGCATTCATCGCAGGTTCGGAAGGGAGGGTGAGCAAGCCGAAAGGCAGGTCCTCGTGTGTTTCTGGCAACTCGCCCATACAGGCTGTGCACCAGTTGGCGGGATGGCCAGCCCATTCGAGCGTCTTCTGCTTCATCCTGACAGGTTCGAGGCGAAGGGCTCCTGGAGCGACTTGCAGACGGAAGGTCTGGCTGTGTAAGTTATACGTGGGTTAGCCATCATTTCAGCAGTCTCTAATGACCGTGCAGAAGCCTGGATATGTCGTCCTAAGGCGTTCTACTGCCTGCGCGGTTCAGCCCTCACGCGATGGACGAGGGCGCATGGCTGTGCAGAAGGGCGGAACTCGACGGCAATGTTGCCGCAGGATCCAGCGACGACGTTAATCTACAATTGACGTGTGTTGGTCATCTTCCGTTTAGTCGTAAGCTTGCGAGGCACTACTTTTGTACAAGATCATAGTGGGGTGAGATGGGTGTGGAGAGGGACGGTGTGGTCACAAAGTTGGTGTTGGGCGCAGCTGCGTTCAGAAGGCGCGTGGTAACTTACCAGACACCCGCAATCGACGGCTTTTGTGAAGTTGCCTGTTTCGGACCCAACGCGGAACAGCACACGACCACAACCTCCAATATCACATTTCGAACGGCTGCAACGATGTAGAGTCAACTGAAACAAAAGATTTTCGATGATTGAAAACTATACAAGATGATCTACGTCCCGCAAGTTTGGCCCTAAAGCTTCCACTGCTTGCGGTCATACTGCTTAGGCCAAATCCCAGATTTGCCCGGCGCCAAGATGCCGTTGGGATCAACAGCATTCTTTATCGTCTCGTTGAAACGCCTAAAGACGTTATTGTTGAAAGAGTACGTTTCCATGATCTGATCCATGGCTGCAAGATGTGTCCGGTACTCTCCCCATCCTTGCTTAGCACAGTCATCGATCAGCGTTCTGAACAGCCATACGACTTTCTTCTTTTGTTCCTCGTCTTTGCGATTGAAAACAATGCATACAATGTGGTGCATTTCGCGCATGCCAATTGTGAATGTACCGATGAAGTCAAGGCCAGCTTCATGACACCGGGCTTTAGTGAGAGCGAATTGCTTGGTTGCGTCTTCGCCATTCACCCTAGAAATTGGCGAAAAGAAGAGATGAGAGCCATTTGGTAGCCAATCCAGCCATTTGAGCTCGTCGTAGGTGGGGATGCCTTGCATAGTCTTGTGGCGAGTATGCAAGATTGAGTTTGCCTCCTGTCGGTCTTCTGGGAAGTACAATTTCGCTCCTGGGATGGCGGAGAAACATTCTTTGACGACAGCCCACATCGCATCACGGATTGGCTGCGGCCCGTAGAGCGCACCATAGAAGTTCCACCGGCCAAGATTGAGCTTTTCAGCTATAGCGTCCAGCTCGGTATCTGTGAGGGGCTTGTTGATATCTGAGGTGTAATCGGATTTGTGACCCAAGACAGCGGCGTCGAGGAGGATGTGTCGAATTGTTGGTACATTCTGGAGGACCATGTTTAATCTCAGCGGCCGGATGATGTCAACGGCCTGCTTCAAGTCGTCCTCGCGAGGGATTGTGATAAGATATGACTGGTAACCACCGGGATTCGGCATGAGCCACATGCCCATCTTTGTAGCGATACCCAGATTGGATTGTGTGAAAATTCCATCAACGTAGGGGCCGAAGCCGTAGTTGAACAGCTGTGCCGAGTCGTTCCAAGGTTGGTCTTGAGGGAGAACACCGGCCTTCTCATGAGGGTGAGGCAATGCACCCATACCAGTACGGATGAGCTCGCCACTCGGTAAGACGAGCTCGATGCCGCAATGCATCATGAAGTGATCTAGTGAAAACGTCAGACCGGAAGTGACAAGCTTTAATGGGCAGGACTTACCACCATAAGGGGTGTAACCAACACCTCTCTCCATAGTGTTACCGAGGACTGAACCGCCACCAAGATCAGGTACGTCAAGCCAAAGCTTGTCGCGAAGGTTGTTCTCGACGAGATAAGTATGTAGATCGTGAAATGTGACTCCTAAATACAGGTCAGCGTCGTGAACGGAGAGAGGCCTGAGTTGGCGACTTACCTGGCTCGACTAAAGCGTAAGCACCCTCTACATTGACTTCGAGGATCTTGTTCATATGTTTGCCCATGTTGACGACAACACTACCAGATACGCGTGGAGCGGCGCCTCCGTAGCCTGAGTTCCTCCCAATGCTAATGGGCCACAATGGTACATGGTACTCATTTGCGGCCTTGACGATAGTCTGAACATCGGCGACGTTGCGAGGGGCGATGATAGCTGAAGCAAGGAAGAAGTCTTGCTTCATGATGTGATGAGGATCGTGCGTGTAGTTCGGCTTCATGTAGTTGCCATCGTCAATCTGGGACGCGGAGGATATGACTTCGATGTTGTCGCGACCAACATCATGACAAGCTGTCAAGAAGTTGTCGAAGACATCGCTACTGACGTTGGGTGGCAGCGCAAGTGGTTTCGTGGTTGCGACCATAATGATATGATAGATAGAATGTGTCTAGTGCTCTAAGTAATGCGGATGCAAAGAAATAAGTTCTTGATCAAAGTAATTACGCGAGGAAGCGTTGGAACCGCCTGGATTATAAAGTCCCATGCTATCAAATGTCGTGAGGTCAGCGGCAGATCCGACATGAGGGCGACCAATGTTCCCGAGGTCCAGTCGCATACAAGAAACCAGAGACACCATGGTGTCATACAAGTGGCGTCTGGTCAGCCCATCTGGTTGCCACCCTGGTGTCTCTGGGGACGGTAGATGGCAGTTATGGTGATAGAACCCCGCATTGAGTGGGAGAAACCCGTCGCTGCCTCTAGCTGTGGGAATTTCCCGACGCTAACGCCGTATCCGTACCGGACCGTACGCCGGGTCCCCGGATTCGCGTGACTGCATTTAGGGCTGTAAAGTTCTTGTTTACGCGCTTGTCTTGTAATAATCTAATTATAATAACTTTAATAGTACTTTAAATAGTTAAGTATATAATAACTATAATTTACTAATAACTAATTCTAAGCTAGTATATCTTAATATATATTTATAGTATAGTAATAAGTTTTTAAAATAACTTTATAATAGTAGAACTATAGTTAAAGTTTAAGTATATAAAGTACTATTACTACTTATCTAAGTTATATTATAATAACTTTATTTAAACTTTTTACTAATATAGCTATAAAATACTATAATAGTATAAAACTTAGCTATAACTAACTATACTAGTTACTAAAAGTAAAATTTTTACTAAACTTCTAATTACTAGAAGTATAAAAAATAATCTAAAAAGTTTAGAAACTTTATAAAAACTTAAAAAAAAGTAAAGCTATTAAGCTAATTATTATAATATTTAAAAAAATTAGTTTATATAAAGTAAGTAAAATAGTAATAATAAAGCTTACTAATAGTATATAAATAAAAATTATAAAAGTATTAACTTTATTTAGCTAGAAATTAATACTCTAAATAAGCTACTTATAAAGTATATTACTAGTACTTTTAGTAATACTTTTATTAGTAAACTAATAATTCTATAGTATAAGCTAGTCTAAAAAGAGTAAGGTCTATTACTAGTATATAAAAAGATATATTTCTAAAAGAGTTAAAATTTTATAAAAGTATAGGCTTTAAGTAGGCTAAGGCTTAAGTTCTTAGCGCTACTACTTTTAGCGTAGTTAAAGCTTTTAAAATTTAAAGTAGTAAGGTAACTATTTTATAAATACTAACGTCTACCTATACTATAGTAGAAAGAATTATAATATAATTATATATTTTTAATAGCTTATAACTAACTAAGCTATAAATTATAAAGTAATAAAATACTAAAATTTTAGCTTATAAAATTATGCTTTTATATATATACTTTCTATTCTTTACCTTTATTCTTATTTTATAGCTTATAGTAAAATTAAAAATTTAAAAACTTATTAAAAACATAAATAGTAGCTTAAATCTAATACTAAAAGCTATACTAATATATATATTAAATAAGCTTTTAACTATATTCTTACTTTCTTCTATAAGTTCTTTTAGCGTTAGTAAGTCTACCTAAAGCTAATCTTATTACTAGTTATATTATCTTACTTACTAAACTTAATTAAGCTTTTTATTATTACTATATTAATTATTTTTCTCTTAAACGCGTTACTTTATAAGTTCTCTTAAGATTATTATTCTAAAAGCTATTATAAAGGCTATTATAAACTACTATATTTATACTATACTAGATACTATTATAAGCGCTCTAAAGAGCTACTTTACTAGTATAAAGCTATACGCTAGGCCTATTAATATTTCTATTACTTCTATTTCTATTATTTTTATTTTTAATATTTTTATTTCTATTATCTTTATTATCTTTATTATGTATATAGCTAGCGTAAGACCTTTTATTATTTTTTTTTCTAGCTTTACTTTTAAGAAGCTTATTAGTAAAATATATAAGCTTTTTAGTAGTTATAGTTTCTTACTTATAAGAAAAAGAAACTAAGAAAACTATTCTATTAAAGACTATTCTATTAATAATTTTACTAATAAAATACTACTAATTATTTACTATATTATTATTTATAACTAAGTATATAAAGTAAAAAAAATAATAAATCTATCTCTTTTTTTAGCTTTATAGAAAGCTATACTTTTATAAAAAAATACTTTAGCTAAAATACTTTATAAAAGTAAAAAGAGCTAAAATAGTAAGAATATAGTATTTATAAGTTACTTTATATAGTAAGATACTATTTATTAAATAGTAGCTATAATAAACTACTATAACTTCTATTAAGACCTAAGCTATAAAATAGTTATTACGTTATAGTTATTAGCTAGTTAGAGAATAGATACTATAAGGCTTAGTATAGTATTTCTATTACTACTATATTATATAGTTCTTAACTACTACGTAAACTTAAAAGTATATTAATATATATAGTTATAGTCTATATAAGTATTAGTACTAATAGTAATATATACTAAATATTTTAAAATTTTAAAATCTTCTAGCTATTCTAAGATAGTAGCTAGGCGTTTTTTAATATCTTTTTACTAAATAGAGTCTATAAAATTAGGCACAAGGCACTATCTTAGTAATACTAAGAAAGTATAGCTTATATATATGTAAAAAAAGAAAAGTAAAATTAGTATAGTAATTATAGCTAGTTATAATATATACTTAAAGTAGACTAGTATAGTAAGTATAAGTTAGTAAAAATAATAGAATACTAAAGTAGAATTATAGAAAAAAACCTACTTAGAGACTAGTGTCTTAGTAATAAAATTATGTTAAAATATTAGAAACATTAGAGGGGCTGTGAAGTTATTATACAGCATCCCAAAAAACCTTGGAAGCTGTTTCCTTATTCGAAACCGCAGCGCATATCATTTGAGACCTCTACGTTGCCGTCCCCTTATTCGGCACAGTGGTACATCCGGTGTGGTAATTTCGTATTGGTGGTCATTGCTGGGAGGCAGATCCCCCCGGCGCCGATAGGACGGCTATCTCCCACAGCAGCCGCCACCACACCCAGAGTCAAAACCCAAACAACCCCGCGAACACTTGAATACTGTGGGGGCGGGGAAAAGACGGATTTTCTGGGGTATTGACCTATCCCAAATGACGATGGACCTGCGCATGTCTGTTGTATTCATAGACACACTACTACTATTACCTGGGTACTACTGCGTCTATTCCAGCTCAAGCTGATCTCGTTCATAAACACACTCAATCAAGCATCACAAATACACCGAAATCTTCCCAGTTGAAACAATGCTTGCCACTTTGACCGTCGCACCTTTCTATGTCGTTCTTCTAGTAGTCATTACATCGTATTGGATCATCTGGACCGTGTACTCGCGCTTCTTTCATCCTTTATCGAAATATCCTGGTCCTTTTCTCGCCTCGATATCGCGGACATGGATTGTGTTACAAGTCGCTGGAGCACACGCGGAGGAAACACAGAGAGAGTTGCATGCCAAATACGGTACGAACACCGCGCGATGCAGTCTGGCATTCTTCTGCTAACAGTCCAAGGTCCGATCATCCGCATTGCACCGAACGAGGTCGCTATCGCTGATCCCACTGCAATCAAGACCATCTACTCTATTTCTTCCGGTTTCACAAAGGTGTGTAGTTTTTACCTGTTGGGTCAGGAACCATGATATTGAAAAGCCTCAACAACTAATACAATTCTCCAGACTGACTTTTACCCGTTATTCCGACCTTCCCTTGCCAGATACCCTGATCTCTTTACCAATCTGGATGAGAAATCTCACGCTAGCCGGCGTAAGATCGTGAACAATCTATATTCCATGTCCAACATTGTCCGCTCGGAGGCAAATATCGACAATTGTACCAAGACTCTCATGGAGAAATTTCATGGGATCGCGGTGAAGGGAGATGCCATCGATGTGTCGACGTGGGTACAGTGGTATGTTTCTTCCAGCACTATGCATCCGCATATGTACAGCTTCCAATGCGCGTACTTATCATGCTCACATGTTCCAGGTACGCATTTGATGTCATAGGCGAACTCTTCTTCAGTCGCATGTTCGGTTTCATGGCGCAAGCCGCTGACTACCGCGGCTATATCACAGCCCTTGACTGCCTCCTCCCGATGCTGACAACAGCGTGCGTCATGCCCTCCTACATCCGGCCGTTTTTCTTGACAGGCGGTGCGATCTTCCCGCGCATTCTCAAAGCCCTCATGAGCCTCAAGAATGTTGAAACAGCAGCAAAGGATGCTGTCGCTGAGCGATCCGCACTCATGAAGAAGGGAGAGGCCGACGGAAAGGACGACATTTTGAACAGTCTGTTTGAAGTCATGGAGACTAAAGGCGCGAAGGTTGATTTTGGCCTCACTGAGATCACAGTAGAGGTCTACGTTGCGCTGTAAGTCTCATAGCACCTGAGCATCTCGTCGGAAACAAGGCTATTGTACTGACCTTTCTGCTGCTTCTAGTTTCGCAGGCTCAGACACCACCGCGGCAGCCATTTCGTCTATCTTATATCACCTCATGCGCTCGCCTAGCGCGTACGAGAAACTGACACTAGAGATTGACAACGCCTCAGCATCTGGCCAGCTCTCTTATCCGCTCATCAGATACAACGAAGCTATCAAGCTCCCTTATCTGGACGCATGCTGCAAAGAAGCGATGCGTCTTCACCCAAGCGTTGCTTTGACAGTGCCACGTAATGTTCCGGCTGGTGGCTGCCAGATATCTGGGGAGTTCTTTCCTGCAGGAACAAGAGTAGGCATCAATGCCGCCGTGATACACCGTGATCAAAACATCTTTGGGCATGACGCGGATGACTTCGTTCCTGAGCGATGGCTCCGCGCAGACACCACGATCATGGATAGGCATATGTTCCAATTTGGCGGAGGAGCCCGGACTTGTGTGGGGAAGAATGTACGTATCTGGCCCCGCTCACAAGTGCTACCACTGATACTCCTGCGAAGATCTCCCTTTGTGAAATGTACAAAACCGTACCACAAATCCTCCGTACTTACCATCTCTCACTCGTCGATGGCGCGCAGGATTGGGAGACGCACAATTATTGGTTCCACAAAACGAGTGGTGTGAATACGAAAGTGCGAGTTCGCAACGTGGATGAGGTTATATCCAAGATGCAAGGGTAGCAACCAAAGGTGGATCTTGATTCGAGAAGACGGTCGCGTGAGTTCTATATGTCCTTAAGAACTTTCAATAATCCCATGTGCTGTTAAAATCTCTTTCTAAAGTAATTTTCATGTTTCGATCACTCTACTTGTACGCTATCAGCCTCTAGCCAACTGTGCTGTATTGTGGTCTTTCTTGAGCAATGTCAAGGTCTCCCACTTCACCCACACCAAGTGACAAACTTCTCGACAACAAACTCGTCTAGTCCCCACTGCCCGTTCTGCCGCCCAAATCCACTGCCTTTAACGCCACCTTGACTTCCAGTCGGCGACGTGTAGACTGAGATGCTATTGGCATGAACTTGGCCATATTCCAGTTCCCGCGACATCTTCATGAACCGAGCCATATCGCGCGTCCAGACCGTAGCGTTGAGACCATATGCTGAGCGATTCGCCAACGCGATAGCTTCTTCATCTGAAGAGACAACGTAAAGCGAAGCGGAAGGGCCGAACGTCTCTTCGTCCAGGATACGAGATGAAGGCGAGGGATTGACGATGATCGTAGGTTTGAGTGCAAGCCCACCCTCAGAAGAAGTAGACCCCACCCCACCAACAAGCACCTCATCGCCCTTCTCCTGCGCATCCCTTATAACATCCTCAGCATGCCGCGCAATAACCTCCGACACCGCCGACCCAGCCGGCCCCTCCATCCCTTTCATAGCTTCCACAAGCAACGTCTTGAACCTCTCCGCCACCGCCTCCATCACAATAATCCTCTCAGTACTAAAGCAAATCTGCCCATGGTTCAATACAGCACCCATCCCGCACTGCTTCGCCGCCTCCTCCAAATCCGCATCCTCCAGCACAATCGCCGGGCACTTCCCACCTAGTTCCATCAATACGGGCTTGAGATACTTTGCCGCGATGCCCATGATCTTCTTCCCCACCTCCGCACTGCCGATGAAATCAATCTTGCGAATCGCGTCATGCGCTATCAGCGCCTCTGTCACTTCAGCCGCATCTTCCCGCCCACATTGCACCTGGTTCAACACGCCACCAGGACACCCACTCTCGGCGAAAGCTTGCGTGATGAGTCCGTGGGTTTGGGGACACAGTTCACTCGCTTTGAAGACTACGGTGCAGCCTACGGCTATGGCACTTGCTATTCCTCTCGTTGCCAACACGAGTGCGGCATTCCAAGGTGCGATGCATAAGACCGGTCCGATGGGTTCTTTAAACACGAAACCCTGCGTGTTGGGTTTCTCGGTTGGGGGAATAACGCCTGTTACGCTGCTTATCTGCGCGGCGATTTCGTTAAGGTACGAGATGGAGAGGTTTACATTAGTACGCGCCCAGGCTTCTGTGCAGGAGGTTTCGGCGATTTGTGCGGCGATGAGCGTAGAGGCATTGTCGGCGTAGTGGGTGGCTACGCTTTGGAGGAGGTTGCGACGGGTTGTGTGGGAGGTGCAGCGCCAGGATTTGAAAGCGGAGAAGGAGGATGCGGCGGCTTGGGTGGCTTCGGTGGTGGAGGCGGAGCAGGCGTGGTGGATGGTTTTGGAGGTGCTGGCTTGGGTGACGGGGATGGTGGTTTGGGTGTGGATGGGTTTGTTGTCGATCCAGAGGGGGACTGTGGACTCGGTGTTTGAGGACATCGTGAATGGATCCCAATACTTCAAACTTCACTGCTCTTGGGTTTCCTAGTAATTGGATATGTAGAAGATATATTGGCGTATGCCTGCGGGAATGCATCTCACGGGCGTATTGGCATCATCAATCAGTGCAAGGCGAACATGACGTCATCGCGAGGTCGCGTCGATCCTTCCAAGGTTCTTCGGCATATGTCGCAGCACTGCGTACCTGACACACATTGCATCGTTATGAATGTCGATTTAGCCGCTCACGCGAGATGCGACACTCGGAATACGTAGCGATGGCTGTTTGCTGTACTGTATGGACGATCTCGTGGAAAGAGCGGCTGCGGCTGCGGGTGGCTGGTAGGCTGGCAGCCGCTCGTCACGCGCACCGGCACTGTAGCGCGTAGATTCCCCGCATTCCGCACCTTCCCGAGGTCCCCTCCCTTTGGCGTTCAAGAGTGCGTTCAAATGCAAGGAGCGCTATCACTTTTCTGCAGTATCCACTTAAACCCTGCAGCGTCAACATGGAAAGCACAAAGAGGTCTAGCGTCTGCATCTTTTGCTTCCGTAGATTTGCCAGAAGGTACGCTCCTCCCTCGACAGAGTGGACATGAAATCGCCGATGCGTGGCAACCGATTCCTGACTTATGAACCCAGCGATGCATTGAAACGACACTGGAACTCGTGTGGTGTTCGAAGGGCTCGCAACCTTTCCATTCCGACGGTTGAGACCAGAGCAAGAGGACGCAAAATCCGTGCCTGCGACCAATGCCGTCAGTTGAAGAGAGCTTGTACTTCCTCACAACCATGCGCGCCATGTGCTTCACGAAATCAAGTCTGCAAGTATGGTCGATCGCAAGAGAGTACACTTGATCAGGCAGACGACGCTGATTCCTTCATCGATGATATCGATGCTCTCAACACGGAGACTAACGGCACAGTGGAGTGCCGTGTCGGTGACGACCTAGTAGCACCTCGCGGCGACATTGACAGCGAGTTCGATATGCACGTATATGAGTCAGTATTCCAGACTTTGGACGACGCCAACGATGATTCGGACTCCCCCATGGCCGACTTCGATCATGTGGTAGGATCAACGCTACTATCTTCCCAGCTCAATCCAAATTCTCGCATTCAACTTAGCTCCTGGACTAGGCCTAGTTCACTGTTAGTTGAACACGGAATCATGGCCCCATTCTGCCAACGCCCAACACAACTCAACATCAACGTATTGATCCAATTCCCCTTCCTCGACAATTTCACCAAGGCGACTGGATTTGTCGGATCATTTGGGTGTGGCACCAAGCAACAGAGACTCTCCATCACATCAGACCCAGTCAAGGCGAACCCGGGTGAGAATATTTCAACTCTGAGAGAAGGAATATCGGATGCCGCGACGCACTGGATTGACATTACCCGAAATGCACTGGTGCAAAACAATGAGAACATAGCTGATCCAGTTGTGTTACTGCCCGTCACATACAAGATCGTCCATCAAATCCGAGAGACAGCGACAAATCGCCATCACCACGGTCCCGCTGATATCGCCTGGTCACCTCTCGTGGAAGCGCTATGTTACGCATTCTTCAATCCGACAAATCTACAAAGATTCCTGGCACTCTTCTGGTCTTGCTGGTATCCTAACTGGCCCACAATACATGCGCCGACTTTCAAAATGAAAGAGAAGTCACCGGAGTTGATTGCTGTAATGGCTCTTGTTGGTGCCTGCTTGTCGCCAGAAGAGCGCGATCATGCCTCAGCCCAGGTCTGGCTCGACTTAGTTGAGGACCTCGTTTTCAGTGATGATGCTTTCCACGAACATGACATTTCGAACGCATGGCGAGATACAACGACTACCCAACGTCGGAGCACACATTTGCAGATTCTCCAGGCTGCTTACTGTGTCTGTCTGTATCAAACGTGGGAGGGAAGTAAGCGGAGTAAAAAACGCGTTCTGCAGCAACGGTTCAATGACCTCGTTCATGTCAGTGTTTCCGATCAATGATCGACGACCTACTGATGATGATTTAGCTAGCACGAGACATAGGACTAGATCAAGCATCACTAAAGCGAGTCGATACATCCCATCCAGCTGATTTCGACTGGGAGGAGTATATTCTCCGGGAATCACTCATTCGGTATAGGTTGACCTAGCACATGACATTCTAATGCTGACTGGATTTGACAGCATCTGTTCATATATCTGCAATATCGATGCAAGCTACGCCCTGTTCTTCCGCCATATACCCCGCATGGCTCTGTCCGAATTGGTTATCGAGATGTCGTCCCCAGAATCCTGTTTTCAAGCTTCTTCAAAAGAAGAGTGCTTCATCGAACTTAAGGTCTGGCGCAAAAGAGTGGGTGCCGATGCGACAAACCTTACCATCTTGTCCGCCGTCAACGCACTGTGTGATAATGCGATCATGGCAAAGCCAACTATCCATCGCGCCTTTGCTCACCTGAGCGTTCTCAACATGTTCACCATCATCCACGCACTGTATTTGCAGGTATACTGCCTCGAAACCTGCGCAGTCACTGCGCTAGATATGGTACGAATGGCGCCAATCACCAATGGATTGCGGAATTGGCAGCAATCATGGCCGTCCGAAACTAGAGATGCGGAGTTGGTGGATCTCTTGGGGA